TGACTTCAGACCAAAAGGCTGGTGGCCTCTACAAACAACCCACAGTCAATCGATCGTTGTGATTTGATTGACAGTCCAACCTGTAGCAGATGTGCAGTGGCAGGACAATGCAGGTAAGGCAGCACAGCACTGAGCCGCGATCCTGTTTCATTCCCGGTGATAGCTTGATTTGGATCAGTTCTGACAATAATTTGTTTTGCAAAAATTAGGGTCATTGCCAGGCCATTTCAAAAATCCTGGAGATTTACAATGGGAGAAAACGATAGTGGGTGCAAGATGAAATGATAAAATTCCTATGTCCAATTTCGTAGGCCCCTAAATAATCAGTCTGTTATGCATTGATTTGACTGAGTTCTATAGGGAAGGATATGCGTATCAGCTTCTTCACGCAGATACAGTCGTATGAGATGGCTCACTGCAAAAGAAATCACCAACCACAAATCTCAACTCGTACAAGGATGGCATAGCGCATCATGCTTTATATTAGGAATCCATCCACCATTGAAATTCGTTGAAATTCACACTGCGTTCTGGATGGCCTTCGATAAACTTTGTCAAGCAATAGAAAAGACAATATCACAGTATTTCAACAATTTCTCCGCTGTCATGCACGTAGAACAAATAGGATTATGTTGGAAGGTGATGTACAATCTCTACGTACTAACGTACCACTTCATGGAGCATTTCCGTATGACTTTGTTTTGTCGAACAAAACTAACGTAAAACGCCCTGAGAGCTAATTGTCCCATGTGCTGAGAACATGATTTGAGTTTGAATGTGAAGGCCATAGGCAGATTGTTCCAGACGGCAGGTAACTGAAATTACATCCCAAACTCCGTTGTATAACCGCTATGCTAACAACACTCTTGCTATCGCCGAGGTCGGAAATTTACAATGTCATCGGTTGCAGTTTCCGTCAGTTCATTTTCCATATGATCTACGCGTGCGAGCCAAATCGCAGTTTAACAATTCTGGATATACCTGGAAGTAGGCTTCCGAGCAAAAATTTACAGTGTCGCCAGACAAGCTGGAGTGGTTAATACATGCAGTTCCGAGCCTTGCATCAACCGCATACAAAACTAATCGGATAAAGACTGTCAGACAGAGCTAGAAGGCCATTGATACAGGCCAAGCGGTAATCAAGGAGAAGTCTATTAGGAAGAATCCTATAGTAAATGGCCACACCGTCCGCCTCGTTGGGTTTCAGGGTAATCGGAACAAGCACATCTCACGGTGCACAAGGTGGAGAATAGTATCTCTATGCTCCTAGTTCAACTGTGTCTATGTATATCAGGAAGGTCAGATTCCTGAAAGCAACCTCAGAACACACGGAGCATACTGAGACCCTAAAACTCCACCGAAATCTCAATCGGAAAGCCGGCAAGCATCCAGACTAATCAAGCACTCAATCAATTCAGCAACAGCCTGGGTCGATGAAAGTAAAATTCAAGTAGCGTGAGGTCCCTTGTAAGTGTTGCACCCGCTTGCTTGCAATAAGCACCAGAGCGGGAACTGCTGTCAGATATAACAATGCACCAGGGCGACGGTAGGGTAGATAGATGTCTACTACCTCCAGCGTCTGAATACAACTCAAATGTGCTAGCTAGGTTACAGTCAAATCAGTGAAGGCAGAAGTCAAACTAGAACCAACGCATCGATTGCGAGGAACCTTGATATCGGCCGTCGAAGTACTCAAGAACGTTACCTTCGTGTCTTGGTGCAAAACCAAAACCCCCAGCGGTTGTCAACTGTTTAAGTCGCACTAATTATCAAGCGGCTCCACGCGAAGAAAAGATTTTCAGTAAGATTTTATCATTACGACGTCACTCAGCATGCGACCGGTTGTACACAGTCAGTGATCGACCGTTTGACGTTTGTCATCTTGCTCAACAATCTTTACTGTTTTGCGTCCACCAGTGAAGACAACAAATCTTACCAGATGGCGATGCACGTCCTCTGCCTGTTTTGACAAAATGGATAAAAAGGATACCAGCTTACTTAGCAAACCAGTGTATTCCACCAACTAAGAAGGTTCTCATTTTGGTAGTATCTATGAACGCTATAAACAAACGAGTGTGGCCTACCAACCCATCCGCATCATGCACTTACAGGGACTCTAATCAACACCAAATGATCAACTTCTATACATAACCATACTGTGACAGTCTTGCACCATGAGGAGAACGAAGCAACCAAGGTTTCATGGCTGTATTCGGCTCTCGATTTCCCTGAAATGTTATAGGCATCGCACGACTTCAATGAAGATCTGTTAAACAAGAAAAATTGGCCCTCAGGTAAAATCCCTAAGTGTCAGGGGACAAAACCATCAATAAATTTAGTGAGCCATGGATTCCACTGCATGGAATGCTGTACCAGAAGAGCAGGGAGAATGTATAGGGTACTTCGATACCTATGGTAAACTGTGAATAAACAAATAAGTGCCCCACCTCCTGGAAATGAAAGCATTATTCCACAGTTGTTGCACTTTTTGGACGCAAAACTTCTACCTGGGAACAGGCTAACAGCCCAAACCAAGAGAATGTCTGGATCCGCTCGAAGTGAACGCCCGTACATATCCAGATGCAGCTGCTTAGCTCTATAATACGATAATACCTGAATAGACCACCGGAAAGGCAAAATAACAAGCGGGGCGCAATGACGTTTTTCAATATCCATACCCGCCAACTGAAATCACAGTGCTGCTCCTGTTAAAAATGCTCTGCTGCTTAGATAAATTAGTTTTGTGAATATTTAGCCAAAAGAAACATCCACTAATTAATGATCATTCCCCGTGCTCTGTGCTTCCGGACATACGGTCAGATTGGGTTTTATACTGAGGTAGTGAAACCTGACAAGGCCCTCTTCTTTCCTTTCTTGTTCAGTTTTTTTTGTTATTCATTACTATAGTTTACTACTATATTGTACTACCTAATCGCTGTAACACACGATGAAAGATTGGTTAACCTGGACCATGTATCGGTTTGTTAATGGACGGCCAACGGGATGTTGGGAATAGTGTTTTATCTTGACAGGTCCTGCACACTTTCAGACCAAAAGGTATTACCGGAGGACCCCGTCCCATCATTAACCAGCCAAGTTCTGAGATGAGGGATTTGAGAACACAGATCGATTAAGACATATAATGAGACGCATAGATAGTTGCAAGAGCTGAGGCCCAAATTAAAAATTCCAGAACTGCTTTTGGGAAATTGCGTCATTCGTGGAATCTAGGAGCGGTCAGTTCACTGGGTCCTTAACCGAATTACTGTGTTTAGTACAACAATCAGATCCTGTTAGGCGAGGATGACCAACATATGAGATCTGCAAGCTCATCTGCCGCCTTTGAAATGTAACTGTTATCCGACGACAGGCGTTCTACGTTTCGAAAACGTGAAGGGAGTGCGAAGTAAATGCACCAACTCATGCGGACATGTAAAGGTCTACAGGAAACTCCCGCCTAAGTTCACCACATCAAGTGGTTTCAGACGAGGCTATCCTCTCTCACCTTTCTTCAACTTCTTCATTGATGCGATTATGGAAGACTCTAATGCATTTGCAGTCGAAGTGCCCCCAGGGCATTCCCTCACAGATATCGAGTAAGAAGACGAAACAACTCTTCTGGGATCTGCAGTACCCATAATGTAAGCAATATTAAATGACCTAAAAAAAACTGCCTCACAGTTTGACATGTGTTTCGTATCTGCAAGACTGGGTGGCCTTGTGCTTGCGGATGAGCCGATTAGGGCAGTAGACAATCGTTCTACCAACACAGATGTATCAGTCCCGGTAGTATAGCCAAGGACGATATTTCCATCCGGATTGAGAAGTCTGAAGCAGCTTTCGTGAACTTGCATCTGTGACGCGGGCGTGACATCAGCTTATTCGTCGAGGGTCTCGTTTTAAATGCTGCAGTGTGATCCATACTATACGGGTCAGAAATCTTGCCGCTGCGCGCTGAAGACATCAAAAATCGCTGTGTTTGATCATCGATGTCTTCGGGGCGTTGCTCCAGTCTTATGGAGAACACCGAATCAGCAATACCGAAGCAAGTCAAATGATTTTCGAAAATAACTCGCCCACAATAGATAGACTGTGCTGGTTCGGCCACGAGCTCCATATGTCAGTTGACCGACTTCCTCGAATCGTTTTCGCACAACCACGAAAAGGAAGAAAACGAGTCAGGAGAGGTCAGACAGTGACTTGGCAGCGAAATATGAAAGTTATTACCAGCACAAACCCAGCTGAGCTGGCCATTACCACCTCCCTGGATGGGGATTCCGAGACGGGACATACCAATGGTTAAAGAGAGTCAGGCATGGCCCAGTCGCGCCCTCAATGGTGCTGGTGCACCTAAGCTACTGCCTTCAATGCATAGCTCCCCCTACAGACAACCCTGCATTTACTCATCCATTATACCAGCCTCCAATACGCTATCTATCCTCCTTCCCAAACCATCGGCGAACAAAACTGTGACAGCTACAACCACTGTACGGCGAGTAGGCGGTTTTTACAGCTGATGATGACGAAGTAAATACGGTTGTCAAATTAAGCGTTGTGGGATGTTACATTTTACTAGGCTTCAATAGATTCGTCTTGTGTGTGGCCTGGAAATCCACAGAACACGGAGGAACTTCAAAACTTCTATTTCCGCCCACTCAGTTTGTCAAGTCAGGATTGTAGGGACTTTAGAGATGCATCCAAGAAAACGCATAGATGTGTGCGCTCCCCCCACAGTCTGACGGTTTTCTTGTTCCCCACCTTTTACTGAAGATCTTCATGGTTTCATCATATCCATGCGACAGCACATACTACTGAATGGTGATGACGATGCCGAAGTAAACATGAGGGTTGAGCTACTACCCCGTGTGTCCTAAACAGGAAAAACTAAAAAATCTATTCTCGATGGGTGCACCACCCAGACGGGGCGACGATGAGAGAGCGATACCTCAAGATCCACAGGAACGTAAAAGAATCAAAACATGGGCGGATATGATCACTTAGTTGCTTTTCAGTGTCTGTATTTGGTAAGAAAAAAACAATAAAGTCAATAGGATCGCGCTGTCAGCGCGAGAAGAACCATTGTGTAGCGTATTGAAACCATATTAGATTGCTACATTAAGATCAGAAAAAAAAACCTTGAGAACCAGAAGTAAAACCATTGAAGTCAAAGTTAGGATGTGGAAGAAGTACAGAGTTGATAAATATAGGATGTTGGGGTACAAAGTGAGTAAGTTTTTCACGCGTCTCCCTAAAAACCAGAGCAACAACAGTGTAGAAGTGAAGAGTCAGTTACCTACTTGCCATCACGTGTAGCCCTCCAGAATCTAAAAATCAACGATAATCAGGCATCAAATGAGCAAAAAGGGCCCGGTGCATGATCAATGTGGTTCTAAAAGCACAGAAACCGGAACTTCGAATCTGCATGATGATATAACAAAGACCGGGGGTAATGAAATTAAAAAAGACACGAAGGATATGAGTTCGAGACAGAAAATGAATAAAATGCGAGGATGAAAGGTGGATGGTTGGGTATCAGCGTTTAGATGTAATGCAGGGTCCGAATTTCAAAGTGAAGAACAGGACTCAGCTCGGAAATGCTGCACAGATAAAGCAAAACGGCTAGTGGAACTCGAAAGACTCTGTGCCCGTAAAAACTGGTACCGAATGTTTTGCTCCAAACAGGGTGACATGTCATGATGGCGGTTCTTAAGCAAATGCGTCGCCATTATGAGCAATAAAGCACACTGTGGGATGGAGATGTCAGGAATCACAATATACAAAGGAGTGAAGGCGCAGCAAATGGTTTGGACGACGAGACCGATCTGCTTGGAACGGGAAGAATCCAACGTTGGGTTACCTAAACAGATCAGGAAAATGGGGAGAATGAATATGACGGAATTACAATGGAAAACTAACGGACGTTTCGAGACTGATGAAGAATCCAGATCTGATGAATGGCTTTATTCGTGAACAATGATTAACCGGTGACAAACTGAGTAAGTTGTTGCCAGGTAAATGGCTACGAGAAATGAAATAGATCGCTAGTAGGAAATGGGAAGTTGACGCAAACAGAAGTAAATCTGCGACCAAAAAAGTGCAACTTACCACAACTTTGGCAGAATGGTGATTACGCGAGTTAGGACCGGTGCAATCTGTTCGGGGCAGCAGCGGGAACCACAGATGACATAACCGGGACACCAGTGGTTTTAGTGTTCATTGTGGACCTCGGTTTACCGGACAGTTCGGTTACGGAACCTGCCCGATCTGGCCCAATGCGTGTCGGGACGGAAGAAGGAACCTTGCTATCCAAGATGGAATTCGGTGGATTGCGGCCAGCAGAATCTGTAGATTCCACTGACCTAGAAGCAGAAGGATGAATACCGCTAGACAACGCACGCGAAGAAACTCGGTTTGTTGGACCACTTCCACTGCCACTTCCTGTTGCGCTGGCTCCGGTGCCATTTTGCCGACTAGCCGAACTGGCACTGCTTGCACCTAGCATCAGTGAAAAACGGATTCATGTATCAACATTTGTGGAACCCTGTAGAGGGAGATACTGGTTTGTAGCAAGGATCACGATAGATGGTTGGCTACTACATCTGGACACGACAATACGCTGGGCATGACAGCATGGCAACAGTGAAAAAAGCAGCACTCATCATGCGCCTTTCGTGAAGTCCATCAAAACTTTGACGATAAGACTAGTCTGATGGAAAAACGGGCTGCGGTAGCCAAAGAAACACCCAAATTCTCGCCTAATAAACTACCGAGACAGTCCTCAAGCCAGGACAGGATGCCAAGGGCGGAGTTTTACTGAAGTGTAATTACGAGGGTCACCTTTTTCATGAGCCGTACTGCTAATACCGGTTTACTCCGTAACTGCAACTTCTGTATTGCAGAAAGTTTTTCCATTTCCTGTGTATCCATCGGAATTCTGACACCTTTACAATTTGGCGCTCAGTTTGTCTGCGTGTAACAGTGCAACCATGGAGTGGCTTGCTGACACCAAAAACAACAACTCGTCGTAGTCCCGTTCAAGTTCATTCGGCATTCAGCTAAGTCGGACGGCTTCAAAAGTAGACAGCATATTCTCTTTGGTATCATTCTTCCTCTAAAGTACTATCAATACCGAACCATATCATCACCAGTAGCTTTGCGGACAACTCGTCTCGATACCGTCGAAAACATAGATATCCACTGAAGGTGTAATATTAGCTCATGTCGGTTCAAGTTATCGCTAATGCAAGACCCAAGTTACACATGGTCAGGAGGTCTACCACCAGGACACCGAGGATGGCTGGCCGCCGTGTAGTTCATGTCAGTTTGTGACTGGCCAGTTGGTTGGAAAGCAATCTTAACCAAGTCGCTGTGTGTCAACGCTGTCTACAGTAGTTTGCAAACCCCAATTCAAGTGAATGAATTCAACCTAACGATACCATTAAAAAATAAACCGGACAGAAAAAACAGGTCCAAGAAATTATTTTGCCATCAACAGTAGAGATACGAGGTAAATGACCGATACCGAAATAGCAGCAAGACCAAGCATGTACGACAAAAAAAGAATCTTGGAGTCTAGCCGTTGAGTGCATTGCACAAAATCGATTGATCCACGTAGTCAAAGGAGCTCACTACTGGCACCATTGGCGTCTTCAAAACCGTTCGCCTCTTTCTGATCAACAGAAAAGTCCACCGGCCGATTGTCCTTAACAGATACTGCGGTCTCTGCTTGAGTGACAGCAGGGCTCGAGCCATTGCTAGACGCGGGTTTGTCCGACTGAACAGCTGCTACCCTTGCATGGGATGGTTTCCGATGAATAGGTAAGCATAAGCAATGACGAGGAGATGCGGAAGCTTGCATACGCCATGGGTTAGTAGCAAATATGGTGAGGTTGCAACGCACCCCACGGTACCCGGTAATGTGAGCACGATAAGAAAATGGATGAGTAGGGAACGCAATGAGTGGTATATATATATACAGAACACAATGAAAAGTGATAATGGTGACCACAAGGAGAACACATGACGATGAGTAAGTGACAAAGTCATATGCAGACAGTGAACACCACCACCATCACAGTGCAGCAAAATCAAGGCCATAATGAAAAATACGGTAGATGTGCGGATCACAGGGTTACCATCGAGAAAGTGGGAGGGGAAATAAACAGAAAGGAAAAAGAGGGTGTAGGAGAAATGTCAACGTGTGAGTAATATACCGACGACCTTGTACGGAATTGCAAACCGTGCGATACAAATCGGTAGAGGAGACCACTTTGGTCAGTATATTAAGTTATTTATTCAAATAGTAAACGTCATCATAAAGTGGTAGTAGCGTACTGTACGGTAGCATACCATGGAGGAAGCCATTGGTGCTTCAATGACTGGTTCATTTTTATCTGCGACACTTTCCCAGCTACTTACTCAGCAGACAGTCGGTTAGCAAAAGCTTCCCAGCCTCCATACAACGCCTCAGGGCTAAGATGCCAGATATTCTCCCCGAATATTCTATTCTCTGAAATTTACTACCTCAGTAACACAGGCCTAGCGTTTCCGCCAAATCTGCCTGGTCCGTACAAAACAACGGTGACAGAGTAAATGTTATCAGTAAACTATACCATGAGGTGGAGTATGCTGTCACATTACGCAAATGTTCATGTACCAAACTATGAGACATTATGCAGGCTTGCCGAAGTGAAACTACAATTGAAACTACAATCCGTAAGATATTGCCCTGGTTATGGGGAGCTGCCCAGAGTGCCAACTAACTCAATCGGTGTCACCGAATTCAGGGAACTAGAAAGCTTTGGGGGCTAAGAAGGTAAGCAAAGCGGATAACGGTATCCATTACATAACGTTAAATTAAGTTGTTGGCCACCCCAGTGCGGATTCGCCGAGCTATGGATGGGGGGATCAGATACAACCATTTTCTCTATGAAAGTTTTGATAGATATGAAATAAATCGCAGTACAGAGCCGGTCTTTAAACGGAGGGACGATATTGTGAGTAGAACACTAACAAGTGTTTAGCTTAGTTGCTGAATATTATTTATCACCTATACCCACAGAGTTTTTACCAACATTCTGCTTCGAAGACTGCCAAACAAGTTGTGGAAACAGGTTGAGCAGAATGATCTCCCTCGTGACTAAAAAGATCATGTGTGCGATAATTCAGGGAAAACCGAATGATGCTGCTGGCTTACCATGTAACCGAATTAGTCAAAATGCGAAATGATTACGCCAGTGCACGCACAAAAACTGAGACAAAATATGCTAGAGTACACCTAGGGCGAAATATTTGGCTAAGGAACCGGTGCTCCTTGTTATCACTGATGATCCTCTTTCTAATAGTAAGGTGTGACTAAAGTAAAACTTATTTCGAAATTTAGTTCCCCTGAAGCATCACCACCTCTCCAACGCGGCTATGTCCAGTTATACTTTTGAAAAATTGCACATGAGGAGAAATAGTGTATTTATGTAACAATAGACACTATTGGTAAGATGGTTGAGCGATTCCATAGACTTCTCAAATCGTTGAACTCTGGCAATCTTTCAGTGCACAGCCACCATGCACGCGGGTGGGCTAAGCCAAAACTAGACAGAGCCAGTAGAAAATGCAGGACTGGGTTTAAAAGACGAACTTGTGCTCAGTAATCTGGGCGCTAACCACTAGGTCATTTCGAGATCTCACATGCTTCGGACTGGTCAACCATTTACGCAGAAAAAATTGCACTAATCTAGGAGTGTGCCATCGCACATCGGTCGGGAAAGCTCTTGTCATGTATTAACTTAGAAATACAAACTGCATGAGAGCCTGATTCAGGTAACTCATGCATCAACATCATTTAAACGATGCACTGAAGACTCATAAGTTCTTCCGTGATTTTCAGGGTCTTGGCGGTGATGGCATACCACAGGACAGAATAAATTTCAACCACACATTAATCGTACTTCACTATCTTCCTATATTTCCAGGGGGAGAAAACTATTGCTCGTGTAACCTGGGCCGACATGATATTCGACTATTCTAACTCTCTCGGGTTATCAGGACGTAAAGAATAAATAACACCTATATTTTTGTAATGCACTACTCGTAAGGTTGCTGAAAACTCCTCGGCAGCCCACGACCGGGTTCGCCCTTCTTGGGGCTCATCAGGGAGGCGGCCTGGTGCAGTACATTCAGTTGCCTGGAAACATCAAAACCGAGAGGTTTAGCTGGGTTCCAGGTGAGTCTCTCAAAGAACCAAATTAGCTTGCAAATGAGTGTATATTCGTTCATAAATAACACTGTTCACTCATTTTGACTCCACTATGTAAGGGGCTGGAGAAATACGATGACACAGGAGGTCCGAAATGCATGGGTAGTGGCAAGATATCAACGATACGGTGGTTACGCAAGATAATGAATGTTTTACGAGAATAGTGGAACTAAACCGAATGACTTCCTAGTTTAGTTCCGGATGAAACATTGGTTCCAGTATGCCCCAGAGACAAGATACCACATTTATCGTCACTAACAACAATGTCGTGATCCTCCCGAGGTCAAATACAAAGATTAGCCCTCATCCACTAAAACAAGCTGATTAGGCCTGCTGACCAGTTCGAGGATGTCCACATTATCTATATTTTATTGTAGGTATAAGAAGGGTATAATGATACCGAATGTCCGATATAAACAGTAAAAATTCCATCAGTGCTGAATCAGTCATGGTACGAAGGGAGGTGTGCAACATGCTCATGATACGTGCTCGTTGACAGGACCGGTTGTGCTGTCCAAGGATATCCGCGAGTGTTGCTCACTTATCACAAGCGAAACAGCGGACAGCTATTTTACGCTTTCTACGGGTCATAGATACTACGAGCGCTGACCGAAAGCAGCCGAAAGTTGCTTCAGTGCCGGCCCCCTAGCAAGACTTCGCTCTCAACCACGAAACCTAAGGAACCAAACATTCTGTCATTTGAAAGTATTGATAAGCAGTGTACAACAAAAAGAACGCGAGAAACCGAGATCACAATTCCTTACCAGATACACTCTGCAAGCTTGGGGGAGCGTTTCGTACGAAACCAGTATGTGCAGATGCTGTCGGACCAGTCAGTTCACCCATAAGTTTCGTATTACCACCAGCACTACCAGACCCATTCGAAGTAGGTCCTTTATGATTTTTTAAGTTGGGACCAAGACGTGTACCTGATGACGCTGTGGATGATGAAGAAGAAGCCGAAGAGGCGGATGAACGAGAGGAACTGGAAGACGACGAATTCTCAACCTGCTGCTGTGTTAGACAAGGATGTCCTTGACCGACAACGTGACTCCGCGTGGGCAGTGGGTTTAAAGAAAATCCCTGTCCATCGATTCCTGGTTGGGAAAACATGACTGACTGGGATACAGGAGTGTCCATAGGATTTGTTGGGAGGCTAAGGAAGAATATGGTAAAACTGGATTAATGGAAGTTCTTACTGAATGCGGAAGCACTCGTTCAAAACGGACGACTCACAGCTAGGTACATCCCTCCGACAGCTTACTGTGAACTTGCCTTTTCCGAAACTCGACGTGCCCGTTCAAAATAAAAAAATTGCACACATGCCTAAGTAACTGGGTAAAACTAGGTGCGCTTAGTTTGTTGAGTTGCTTCTCCTTGGACCCAATTATTTCGTAGAAAGGAACGGGTAAGCTGTGATATAAATCGGGATACTCGTCAGTGGCATTCATGGGGCATATAAGCAACAGTTAGCACCATTATGCAATCTCCACCATCAGGCGTATCTTTTCGTTCATACTAGATAAACAAAGTCGAAGTCTTCTTTAAGATGAACAAAATTAGAGGAATCACCAGCAGATTTTTCTTGCCTATTTTTGACGTTGCACCTGAGTGCATTTAAAAAAACCAACTATTCGATTTTATCGTAAGAAACGTCCTCAATGTTTTCGGCACATGTGTAACAAAGGTGTCAGCTTTGAGAAATGGCGACGTTATGACACGCGAACCGAAGCTGGATAGCGAGAAAGAAAGGAGTGTACTTCACAAATTTGGATAAGACTATTCTAAGCGCCCTACTACATAACTGCCGTGCGATGGGATTTCTGAGACAAAATCAATTACTTTCACGAATCGGTGACCAAGCGAAAACTTTCGCTCAACTGCCAACCAAAAAGCCCACACACGCTAAAAGTAGGGGGGAAAAGCAAACGCATCTTTCAGGAAAAGGTACTTATCAGATAACAATGCTTGGATACTTATTAATGAAGGTCATGCAATGCAGAATAAAGTAGGAATAAAATCGAGTCACCACATACTTCTTCATCAGCATCTGTCCTTGTAATGCTGGTGCTGTGTTTATGCGACCATTCACTGCACCGGCCCCGTCGACAAAACAAGGGTTTGAGACAGGCGTAGGTGCCGCGATGGGATAAAGTACGGGCGGATAAGGATAGTGTGGACCAGAAGTTGTTCCTGCATTAGCACCGTCCATTGACTGAGGAGGTTGCATGGTTGGCTGGTGCATCATTCCAAACATTGATGCACCGGAAGCGTTTGCATTGGGTAAAAGAGTCAAACCTGAGGATGCACTGTCTGGCATGGCATGGTGCATTTGAATGAAGCGCTGCGCCATTAGACCCTGCGCACCGGACGGTCCACCGACCTCAGAAACGGAATCAACTTCTTCGAAACTGAGCTGGGCAAGCGCTAAAAAAGGAGTCCAGATTCACGAACTTTAGTAGGCTTGACAATGAGGGAGACAAACAGATATAGTATTTTGTTGTATCAACTGTCTTATTGCCCACACGATAATGCAGCCATGTAATATGCCTGTAGACCTTAAGTCATGCTGCAGCAAACCGTTATTACGTAGTCAAACCAAACATGTTACAGGTTTACATGACATCCAGTTGATCATCTCTAACTTCATGGAGTAAGTGATTATACTGAGAAACTCGTTTGTATTTTGGATTGATACGTTAAAATAGCTCGGGACACAAATAAACGAAGGGTCAGCTACTGATCAAGTGTTTCCTTTGTTCGTCAAACAAATACGCCCTAAACTCACCAGTTGACTATCTATTAGTAGACATATACTTGCCAACATGAGTCTTTACCCAGGTCACAGGCATTCAGTTTGTTAAAGACGAGGGCTATGCTTCGCCGCCACGATACAGTCACAGAGGCTGTGCGTTCAGTTGCCGATAGACCAGAGTACCTTCACTAAACAATTTCCGTGGCTGCTTCTGTTTAAAGCTAGAAATGGTGCATCCTTCTAATAGCTTCTCAACAGCTGATGAAGGATATCGTCCCCAGTGTTTGTGTTTATCTTTAACTGCTTTGAACGGTTGAACGGAAAAGCACTACCATAGATGACGAACCTGAAGGTCCAACTCGGTCCAGTTTAGGTGCAGTTTACCTGGCCTCAAGACCAAGGGTCCATGACAACCTGGTTTGGTAGTGCCCAAATGCGTATCCACTATAGCATAAAGCAAGCTACTTTGGATAAAAGATAAAATATGAGTAGCAGATAGGGATCAAAATCATGAAAAACGTTCCAGTCAGGGGTTCCACTACACCCAGTTCGCCTCATACGCGGGTGATTCAATCGCCAAGTTGGAAGAAGGTTAACCCGACAACAAAAACGGTCGCGATACATTTATATCTTTGCAATGTACTACTCATAAGGTTGCTGAAAATCCAACCATATTGAACTATCTCGTAGACTCACCTGAGGCGATATCTCCAAATACATTGCTGAAAATCAACCATATTGAACTATCTCGTAGACTCACCTGAGGCGATATCTCCAAATACATAGTAACATTGTTCTGAAAATGTATTCTTATTGACCGTATGTCGGATGTATCCATATTTGAGCATTTCTGTTGCATAACGCCGAGCATCTCGGCGATCCGCGAATCCGTCCACATGAGCATAGAGCCAGTCGACCAGATCGGAGCCTGAAAAAAGGCGAAATTTTCTAAATGAACGAAGTTATACAAGAAAGCCAACACAGGCCAATAGGTTTACAAAGCGCCTTTAAGATGAAGGTGACGCTATTTTACACGAGTCTACTTGAATCTATAACCCGAAGTAGATGGGATGTGAAAATACTTAAGACTGTGGAGAAGAAATCAAATCAAAAGAATAAACAGCGACACCTTGCGTTATTGTTGTCATACAGAAACTGGAATGCAAACGGCGAAGTGTTTTCTAGTTATCAGTAAGAGCGGTCGGTGAATCATTGAAGGATTTGAAAAACGAACACGGATCTAACTACCGCCGTGCTTATAACATTTGGCCCCCGCACGATTCAAGCACCTGTGAAATGGAAGTTTTCGACCTATTGGAACATCCCGTTGAACCACATCATAAAGACCGTCTCAGAAACGGATAATCTACCGTCGATATTATGACGTCACCCAACTAAAGCAACTAATGAAACAATGGTGACCAATGCGGTTCGTATAGGTCCTTCGCCAACCATATAATCAGAACTGCTTTTGGACCAAAAACTGTGCTGAGCCTAGCATAGGAGTGGGAGCCGTCATCCTCCGACAATGCCAACTTCGACTATAGGACATTTACGGCCTAAGCTACTGAAACCAACATGTAATCGACACCTGGAAAATTTTTGTCGTTGACTACCGTGCATGAGTAGAGGCCAGTCGAGACATCCAAGAAGCTAATTTATCCACAGATCGGACGCAATAGTAGTAACGTAAGTAGGTGTACTTCGGTAGGCATCTCCCGCGTTATAACCACCCAAAGCTAGCTGCAGCTCACCTGTGGACATACGGAAAGCTTGAGCCAGACATTGCTGGAAAGTCACACTTCCCGTCAAGTGTTTTGATATGATAGTAAGCATATATAAACGGCGCTTAGTCTCTCTAGGGTCACCTTTTTATAATTTGTATTTTTACAAAGTTGTGGAGGATTTTAATCGAAAAGTTGCCAGTGAATCGATAGAATCATGAGTGAACGGTCCACGGTGTTGTCGATGATGAGGGCAGTGGAGTGTGTTAAATCCAAGAAGTCTACAGACCAAATACATGTGTGTCCTCGCCCAGAAGTGAATGATTAAACGCTTATCTGAGAAAGATGGATGGCGGATATTGAATACTGTAATTTTCCTGAATAATGGAGTATTACTATATGTGATACATCCGTTTTTGAAGAGACTGCAGTTAGTATTACATTAGAAACACAGGGTCAACAATCACTCTTTTCCAAAACAGATAGTCTGTGTTTAATACTAGTCGTGTTGATATTATTTTGGTGGTCACTACCCAATATATGTCGGCCAATCGATATTACCTCTCCTCGATTTCTTGTGAAGGTTTTTCGATCAGCCTAGCTGAAGTAAATTCTAGATAATATTCACCAAACGCCATAAATTCCTGGAATGTCACACGTGCTCCTGAATTTCCTGACAGTTTCCAGAAAATATGGGAACACAATCCTTTTTATTTGATGCCCCGACTGAATACATTAATCAGCAGCGTGGTCATAACCTTCTAGTCTGATAAAAATTGTATGGTTACTGTATCGCTCTATTCAGAATTCTGTAGCAAGCAGTCATTGGTTTACCAATACCTGTTTAATGTTTCCGGCAGTACCGGAAGTGGCCGTCATTCACTCAAGCAATCAGTTCTGACAGTAAGTACATATGCTGAGATACTAAAGGTCCCGAAACGGTTGACCACAAGGACCAATCGGTTGTGACGTCGGAAGTTTTAACATCTTCACCCGATAAAATCTTGAATCTAATTGCTTCCATGTTTCATTGGTCAGTATAAAATCCCAACTGAGTCCAGAAGAACACGTTGTCAATCCGAGTTGAGTCGAAGGTCATGACTGGATCTGGCACGATCACATCTCCATACAACCCTGTGAATCCATATCTGGCTCGCATTTTACGAAAAACGGGCTGCACCACCCACAAACCTTCAAGTACAGAAAGGCCTGAGGACCACTTCTGAATACCAAAAGGTATAGGGTCCGAAATGTTCCCCCCACTTCACCGTAAAATCCAACAGAAGCATCAAGCGATAACTGCAAGCGGTCTCTCTCAGAAGTGGCCTATCCAGACAGCTACAACTGCGTCATCACAGTCAGTGCAAGTTCGTATAAAGTGAGCGCCTTTGCCCTCCCCACATACTTTGTGGAAGCTCACTAATTGTTTGTTGTGCCACGTTAATACCACACTTTCCCATTACACTGTCACATCGGGAAGGAGCGGAAGAATTGTTGGAATACAGTCGCAAAACGTACACATTAAAGTACCTACCGTCTCATAATGTCAACTAAAAACAAGCTCTGACCATGCAGACACTGTCAGGATTGTGCAGACACGGACATGATGTCAAACAATTTACAGGGCTACTTAATGATGCCGTAATGGAATCGACGCTTGCTCATGGTCTCCAACTTCCCACTTCAAGGTGAAGGTGAACTAGAGCCAAAGGGAGACTGTTCGCAGGTGATAAAACGGATGCTGATTAATCCATGCCACATTTTCCCAGCAGAGAATTCGTCAAAGTGCTCTTAGAAATATACATGGCTTGCCGACACAAATGGCAGATCATCACCAAACTAACCAATAAACGCGTTTGGAATGGTGATTTTGAGCCATGTTCGGTCGTGGATTTCCAAATCGGAGTCAGGAAGCAACATATTATGGACAACCGAAGCCATGTCTGTGGTAACGGTCAAGGAGCTGGCAGATTTGGCAGTACCAAGTAAAGTATTCCCCATTTTGTGGTCGACTTCGCCACCTGAACGGGATCCCGCGGTCTTCGTGCTGCCGGCTCCGCCGCCACTGCTACCGGGACCACCGCTTCGATAGCCACGGCCATCTCCGACAGGACCATCATTAGCCTCAGCAGCTTCAGGAAGGGATTTACTTGTCATGTTCGATGCAGAAGGGACGGCACTAAGATTGGCTAAAGAAGGGGGTAGCAATTGGGGCATTCCAGGAGGTAGAGCATTCATAGGCAGGCCGGGATTACCTCCAAGTCCGAGAAAACCGCCTAAAGTACAAAAACAGAAACGGCACATACATTCCTAACAGGACAATGCACTATATTCAGTTTATTTGTGAATGAAGCGATCAGAGAGACAAACATAAACCCTGCTCAGAAACCATTGAGCGCAGAGATGAGTAACAAAAAACTGCGCTCCAATAGGAAAGGTTTTGGGCGTCATGTGACGTGTGCACGGGTAAAACATTTCGAAGGAATGTGACCTAGAAGAGATGAGCACTTTGGCAAAAAAACTTGACAGCTTAAACAAATTGCCATTACTAGAGAACGGCGAGCTATTCCTATTATTACCCCAAATCCCAGTCCGGTCTCAGATTATTATTATTATTATTATTATTATTATTATTATTATTATTATTATTGTTCTGCTGTAGCACACTCTCGGTGCCCAGCTGCCAATGCCACCCTGGGAAGCACGAGGGTTATGATACTGCCAGTTTGCGCCAGCCTAGACAGGGGAAGTCAAGATGCCAAATTCGAATTCGAACCACAGACCATTTGGCAAGTAAGTCCACGCCTTAACCACTGGGCTATTTTGAGCTCATTACTCAAAAGTAGGTCATGAATAACTGCATATCCTGTGCTTACATCAGGTAAAGGTAAGTAGTATTTCAGAAGACCGTTAAAGTGAAATCTATGAGGAAAAGCCAAGAAGCCATGTACGGCTGTTTAATCCTTACTGGGGATCACTGGCAGTGTGCAACTCACGAATCTCTAGGGCGATTCGAAACAAAGACTCCCTGGCTGCTAAGGGATTCGGACGACCCTGGAGATTTACAAGATGTATACTACTGATGATTTCCAATAGATATAAAACAGCAGTACAGTGCTTCTAGACTTTCGGCATAGAATAACTCCACAGGGGAAAATCTCGGTCGAAATTTCCAAATCTCCTCATGTGATTCATAAACTGTGTCGCACGTTAATCTCACCAAGCATTTTTCAAGTGTATTACGAGAAACGGGGTGGACAGATCAAGTTACGAAGGTAAAAGAAAGCGAACACAACCGTAGTGGTGGACAGAATGTTTGTAGCCAAGCGCGCACAATCCGGTTGGCAGTTAGGATCAGACTGTCAAACGCCAGGGTTGACTCAATTAAGTTTCCAGATGTCCTAAAGACATTAAGTTGAATTCCAACTGAGCTATCAGTTGTTCCATTGCGCGAGAACTGCAATGAATCAAAACAGACTCAAAAGTAAAAACTGACAGGAAACGTACAGAGGGGGAAACAATGTCCGAGGATTGAGTTGACACGCAAATGTCTGTTAGGAGTAGATTAAAATGAAAGAATGGCAAGCTAAGGAATGAAGGTGCTGGCGATAGTGAAGTGAAGAAATTCGCAAAAATAAAAGATGACGAGGAAACAAACCGAGATATTCAAACTGGAGACCAGGGAGCGTACTAGTCAGCTTGAGTTTACCGGTGAAATGAAATTAGGAGAACTGAGTGAAACAGAAAGGAGGACGATGACATCCACAACAAATTCCAAAAATGACGTTCGTATGGAAGCCTATTCCTTTTTCCGAGGTAATATCAACCATTTTCAAGATTCGATATTCAATGTAGACAGAGTAACAACCGTTGGATTAGGTAAATGGAAGTAATTCCAGAAACATCGCAGTTTGCAGAGCGATTGTGACATAATACGAATCAAAACGCTTCTGCGGTGCCTATATCTTTACAGCGACTCCATTTAGTTGAACTACACTAATTGCTAATGTCACAAATATAGAACAAGTTCTCAGATTTCGGATGGTAACGACTAGATGACATCTGTATATCTAACCAGCTTCAGTCCCACTTCTGTGGAAGGGAACAAGAAACACCAACGTTGTTTCAGGTATATGTAGATTTATGGATTACCCCGCCATCTACAGCGACCGTCTTTAGCCGGTCCGATCATTGATCAAATTACCTACTGTATTCATAATATTCATGTACACAAAGACCGTATTCGGTTCTAAAAAGATGGGTATGAAGGCCCGACCATGTCGGTTGTAAACCCAGTGCCGATAAGAGACAAAATGGTCCGACTCCACATGGGTGATGAAAACCAGTTGTTGAATAAGGCATAGCTGGAGTACGAAGTCAGTCAATAAATATTACTGTAAAACCTATGGGAATTTCAGGATCACGGTAACTGAGAGAAAACATTACCTTGCATCATGCCCATACCGGTAGAAGGCCCAGCACCGGTGAAAGGTGTTGCACCACCGGGAGCACCCATCCCTCCCGTCATAGCATTGGTGTGTAACACCCAGGCGCGTGGATCAATCGGACGCACGGGTTCTTGCCGAGGAACAGTGAAGTAGTCTTTCGGACTAGGATCCCAGCACTTGGCAACCACTAAGGTGATTGGTCTACAAGCAGGATAAGAGTATACGTTGGATAAAAATGTTAGAGGCTAGTCATCATTCACAAATGAATAGAAGTAGTGTGCTCTGGCCAAAATGTCGATTTCTAGAATCGCTACAATAGGTATGGGTGGGAGCATATGGGTTCAGAGTCTAACGGCTGACTGACAGGTCCGTGGTTCCCACCCATTCATGACTAAACAGTCATGGTCAAGTGTGCAAGGTCTCGGCTTTCGTGATTCTTTCGGGTTGCCTACCAGCGCTGCACTGGAAGAGTGTCACAGAGGTAGGTGGAAATCGGGTTGCACAATATTTTCTTTTATTCTTCAGCTTATCTGGATTCGAAAGTACTGTTGTTCGGATGCATATTTGTTTATTTTCGTTAACTGTGTGTTTACCGACCAAACTCACATTGGTATTACCCCGTGGCACGCTGACTGATAGGTTTCAATGCGGCTGGTTTCGATACTGATAGGTTTAGCTAAGATTTGTTCATCATCGAACAAACAACTCGTATTTGGTTACTTGTTCATACCGTTTCCAACACACTTGAATCTGTTTCCTATCCGAACGCCCCGGTGGACGGATTGTACAAGGTCTTTCGCCAAGATCGTTGTTTCCATTTCCATCATTAAATATTCCAGACCAAGTATTTCCCAATTGAACACCCAGCAGCGACTTTTAGGGAACACTGGACACATGTGGCAGCAGTTTAATTTCAACCCGCTTAGAAGGTGACGGGGTAGATGAACAATGATGTAGATCTGCCCCGACGGATGAAATCAATGTCACTGTAATGACTGTGCTCTGTTGGTAAACAGCCACAGGTACCATCAAGCAGGAAGCTCAATGCATACATCAAAAGAAGACTCAAACGCATCCAAACTCTCACGAGTGCCCATACGGACCAAAGTCCAACAATAAGATACGTTTTCGCTTACAAATGACGGTACGAGCATCATTTTGCTTTCAAAAATTACGGTTTGGATACGTCAAGAGCGGTAAGGTAATCCCACAATTTTCTGGTAAGTAACCTCCCAGCGACCGGTTGGATCATGTCCTTCTTCCGAGTTATGGGTAATCGTGATCAGTTGTGTGAGAAATTTCGTTTCTCCTCTTGATGATAAAATAACCCTAAAGATGATAACCATTCAGCTGTAACACTTCCAGTGTATAGCTAAGCACGAGGACTGAGATACCGCCAGGTTAACCAAGCCTACACAATCCCTTTTCGATTAGAATATGGGAATACTCTAATTGAATTCTTCCAAAGGGATCGTTTCACGCAAGGAGACGATCACCTCCTCTATTCCGAAGTTTCGGCGCAAAAACTGCGTAACTTTTTCCGCCACATGTATCGATAATATCGAGTATTAAAAGAATGTTAACTAGAGGCATTTCCATCTATCCGCTCGGAATATCAGTATCGCCAAGATCGGCTCAAAAAAGGACACGTCCTGTTTTTCTACATACGTGAACGCAGCAAACAATGTGATAGGACGTAGTTGAATCTGGTTTCCCAAAAACGTCATCCTGGAATCGTATGACTGATAAGACAGGAGAGAAATTTCTATATTCGAGGCCATTGGCACAAGGGTGAAGTGTATCTGCCCTGATTAGCAAAAGTTGGTTCGAATCGTCCTTTTGATTGCGCATGGCAGATGTGACCGCTGTGGTAGGCAGATAACCACTACCGGGCCCTGGTGTCCTGTCAAGGGCTAATCTAATCAAGGTTGGTTCCTTTCACTCAAGCACATCTTTAGTATTTGGATAACTCACTGCACAAGCACTTTGGACGTCTAGGAAAACAGGCAGCGATGGATTGTTTCATGACCGATTTTGTGTTCCTTTTGTAACATAATCGTCACACTGCTACCAACAGCAGAACATCCATGGTGAACGCATCAAGTCCTAGTCAGCAATTGCCTACGAGACTGGTGATAAAAATCTGCTCGCGTGTGAATA